GTCGACGTAAACGGAAACTGGACCGAACCCATAGACTTGCTTTCCATTGTACACTCTTCCCTTTTTCGGTGTCATAACGACATTGTTTTCTTCCGCCAGTGCTTCCAACACCTCAATGAGACGCGATGTTCCTAGAAGTCGCGTTTCGGCCGAAGCTGCTCCGACTGACCCCAACGCTTCAACAGATTCTTGAGGCAGAGGAGGAGGTGAAGACGGAGGAGTTGGTGGTTCGGGTGGTGGAGAAAGTGTTGCACTGTTTTCTTCCAGTCTTGGTTCTATCGGTGGCTCTGTCAGATTTGCTAGGTGCTCCAAATGCTTGCTAATCAATTGCAGGCCCCGCATGAATTGAGCTTCAATGAGGGGATGATAAGCAATAGGGGGAGGGAAGAACCCCTTCCACCCAGAATACCATACGTGGATTTCTTCTAAAACAAGTGTGGGAGAGTTGAGCCACAATTTCAGAACCTGAGATCAGCAAACGGGGCATCAACAAAAACGAGATTCGTTCGGACTTACATTTATCCACTTTGGAAAAAACTCAGTATCAAGCAATTGCACGATGATCTCGGGTCCAATTGGACCGCACCACTGTAGGACAGAGTTCAGGGGTTCAAGGTCTTGAGCTGCAGGATTGATCTGATAAAAAAAAGAAGTTGGATATTTCTGATCAACTAGAAACACTTACAACTATCGATTTGACGGTCGATCGTAGAGCGCTGATGATCCGTTGATCTAGACGTTTCTGCCATGCAGTACGCAATGACTGAACAAGGGAGCGAGATTCTTGGAGATCTGGGAAAGCAGAGCCTGGGAGTGACTGATTGAATGACTGTGGAAGAGATAGAACATGATCGAAAAAGTCGAACAAAAGAGAAACAAGAAGAAGAGGATCGTCATGGATTGGATCATGAGAGTCAAGGGAATCACTATAAGAAAGAATCGCTTGGGCAAATTGACTTGCAAGAACTGGAAGCCGCAAACTGTAATACTGGAGAGGGAACTGATTTAAAATGGATTTGAACAAGGTTGATAAATCTATTAGGAGTTCAGAAACGGCAGGAAATGGAACGGAATGGAAGGGGGGGAGGGCGTCGGACGTGGAATCTCTTCGTTCTGATGCAATTGTTTCTGCTTCATCGCTTCGATTCACTTCAACGTTTTTTGTTCTTGAAGCTTTCCAAAATTTTGAAGCGGCTCCATTATCATCTTCATCTTCGCTCAATTGCATTGTTGCATCATCGTCACTGACTTGCTTGTCTGTAGACGAATATTTCGTCATTGCAGCCTGCCGCTGTTGAGTTTCTTGACCTTCTGTCCTTGACGCTTGTACAGAGTTGCTCACTCTACTGGCACACTTCGAATTGCGCTGTTTATTAAGATAATGCGCTACAAACTTCATTTTTGTTGAAAGACGGAATTGAGAAAGCGAGTCCAAAATTTTCTGTACAACGTCCGCTTGGTGGACCGTTCGATATTCTGTTGCCTCCAAGTCCTTCGCACGTTCGAGAGACATTTGAAATCTCTTTTCGTGCTGAATCTTGTCACGCGCTTTTTGAGAGATTTCTGCTTCAATTCGCGAGACGCATATTTTCAAATTGTGTTGAAGTTCCTCCAACGTTCCAGTTGAATGGGTCAGTCTCTCATCTGTTACCTTCAATCTCTGAACATCATCTTCATAAAATGATCCTTTTGGGACGGTTTTAATTTCCCCGGTTGGATGAAACTCATACATATCCGCAGAACCCTCTCGGGGTCCTGATAACCTTGATTCACTATCGCCGCGACAATCTATTCGAAATTGAGTCGATCGATCAGCTTCTTCTGCCGCTTCTGTTAACCTCATTCGGAGCTCCTGAACGTCTTCAATTAAACGCTTGGAAGGTCCCGTCATATCAACAATACGTAATGGGGCAGAAGTTGGAGGCTCGCCAGAATGTAACAAAATTCGTAATCGAGCCTGCTCCCGTTTCAGTTTATCTTTCTTCGATGACGGTTTTGGGTCTTTCAATTCATAGATATCTGTATCATCATCTGACCCGCTGTCACTCTCTTCAATGATTTCATCTGCCTCTCTCAATGGATCACTCGATTGGATCTTAACGGTTAAATCTTGATGTTTTAAACGAGATTCTGTTGCTATTTCAGACGCCGTTTTGTATCTGACACGCATGTCTTGCCGTGCTCCCCTTCTCCACCTTCCAGACGGTTTTTCCTTTCCCACTGATGCTTCTTGTCGTCTTCTCCCATCTGATAACAAAATGTCTATCGCCGAATCAGAATTATGGAAGCTTGAGAGTCTCGAGACAGGAAGTTCTTCTCTTATTGCCTCTCCTGAGTTTTGTAACCCTCTATTTTTTTCCCTGACTTTCACAGCTAATGGATTTGCAATGCCTGTTCCCCCCTTTCCGAGTCCTCCTCCTTCGTACCCCATTTTTTTCAACATTTCAAACCCTTTCCCGTAAGTTCGTCGCATTCCATGTTCACCCAATGTATTTTTCTCGGCATTCTTTTTCTTCGTCTGAGCTTCATCTTTTTTCACCTTCTCTGCTTTCTTTTCTTTGATCATTTCATCCAAGCGATAACGCCAGTCAAACTCGTCGTCTGCTCCACGACGTATTTTACGAACGGGTTCAACCATTTCGTCGTCATCTGAAGAGCCTTGTCCATCCACATCCTCCTGCTCACTGCTACTGTTGACATTCATGCTTTTTAGTCACAATACTGTGAAGCAGAATTAGACCTGGACGAGCAAAAAAAGCTCGTTGCGGATGTTGCCACTGAGGGAAGGCTCAAGTGCTGGTATCGACCTCACTCCAATTTCTCAGAGCACTGCTACTCAAACCATGTTTGACGAAAATGCTATAATGTGGAAAAACACTAGAACGTAATCAATCGGTACAGAACAAGCAAGCAGTGAATTCTGAATTGGGTTGTTGCCTTCTATTCCTCCGCGGTTTCGTTGTTCATCGTGAAGTATCGGAGCTCATAAGAATTTCTCCCGCTAGCGACAACTCTCAGATAATCGCGAAGAAGTTGCTTTTTCAAGTATTTCTTGGCAAGATACTGAAAGATTCGAATGAATTCCGAATCTTTTGATCCTCACTCACCTTGATGTACCGCTTTGAGAATGGGAGCTCAGCGGCAATCGAGATTTTGCCCTTTTCGCGTTTAATTTGGACTTTCTCACCAAGGTTGTTCAACTTGTTGTCGACCTTGATTCGATCATGGAAATACTTTTCCTGGAAAGAACAACGTCGACACATCAGATCACATTTTGTTTCTCCTCACCATGCTCGAGGCATCGATGATATTGTCATCGACCGGCTTCGCACAGTCGAGGACAAATTTGACGACGGCCTTCTTGACGTTAACCTTGGCTTTTGGTGCGACGGCCATTGGCGACGAGGGAGGAGTACGCTTCCAAACAGGGATGCCAGGAACGCACCTGATACTCTTTGCGTGCTGTTTCCCAAATGTGACAGGACAACTGGGAATCCAACAACATCAGAAGGAGAAGGACACTTAAATATCGATGGCAGCACGTGTTTCTCTCTTTTGCAAAAGTGAACCATTTTCAGAGTAAGAAACTGCTGGAGACGACACGTTGGTTTTGAAGCACTCTCACACAAGAGAACCATATCAAGTACGTTCACACAAGAGAACCATACCAACCACTTTCACACAAGAGAACCATATCAAGCACTTTCGCGGAAGAGAACCATATCAAGCACTTTCACACAAGAGATCAAGCAGACACGTTTTGTCATAGCGAGCTAGGAACACAATCTTCATTATTGAAGAAACGTGACGGAATAGCAAGCCAGAATCAATATTGTGCTTCTAATTCGCCTTTCATTGGAACATCAATAGATGACGACTCAAGAGAGCACACTGAGAAAGTTTTAGGAATCTGATGCCTTGTGTGAAAAGTTGTGTGGCTGTTCGGGACAGAATGCTAGTCAATAATACTGTGACGCATACAAGAGATGTCAGACGTCCAATAACGCGTATGTGTGAGAGTGTCAACTAGTCATTTCTGTCCTTCAATATCTTCTTGATTCATACTTCAAAAACTTTGGAGTGACTGCATCAAGTTACTGAGATATACAGAATTTTAGCGTGTTCTTTGATAATCAAACCAATCGGTCGCGCCCTGCATAAACAAGAAAGAGCACGTCAATGTGAGCACGTTTATTTGATGTGGAAAAGAGAACGCCAATACAACGTTGAAAGCAGCCATCAAGTTGTTCTTAACCAAGAAATCGACTGAGGGTTAAACGACTGAAATCGCGGATCCTCAGCTCATACAAGCAAAGTTGCGATGATTCATTCTTGCGCCTCGTGGCGTCATCGCAACGAATGCGTTTCCTTGGGGTCAATAGTACTTCAAATGATAATCGCACATGTCTTTACTTGTCCACAGCTTCAACTCTAGCATTTAATTCGTCAAGATCTATCGAAGAAACCTAATTCTGACTGTTGTAGAAGTTTATCTATCGTAACCTTGAACGCATCACCACTTGGTTTAATCTGTGCGAAGATGCCTTGATATGGATCTCAGTGTTCTACACTCAGGTACTGGGAAAAGTTACAAGGCGTTACGGTATGCGGACGGTAGCAGGAAAAACTCGCTGGAAACACATGAGTGGAACTCTTGTCTCCAGTCGGTGAAACGTGCCCTATTGCCAGGAGCTCCAGGGTGTTCCATTAACTGTATTCTGCAATCTAAATAAAGCATCGCCTTTTACTGGAGTATTTGTTTGCTGTAAAGTCGTGTGTGAATCTGCTTATTCGAAAAAAAAGTTTGAAATCTTGTTTTATCCGAGCGTTTGTCTGAAATAGTGTTTTGTCTGAAGTAGTGTTTTATAATTCATTTTATAATCTGGTTTTATGATTCGTTTTATAATCTTGTTTATAATTTGTTTTATAATCATACAATTTCGTTTAATCCTCTGTCGTATCCGGAACTCTGCCCCCCAGAGCAGGTTCCAGCAAAAGAAATGGAGCTGCTTCTAAACCCCGTGGGGTTGCAAGAAGCGCTAGCGGAGGCCCTAGCAAAAGCAATGCTGGCAGTACAGATGCCACTACCACCAAGCATGTTGGAAGTAGTGGTAAAGGCATCGCTGGAGGTGTTAGAAAAGCACACCCAGCAAATACAAACAGAAGCACTGCAAAGAAAAGTAACACTGCGCAAGCCAGCACCACAGCAACAAACACCACAGCAACAAACACCACAGCAACAAACACCACAGCAACAAACACCACAGCAACAAACACCACAGCAACAAACACCACAGCAACAAACACCACAGCAACAAACACCACAGTAACAAACACCACAGCAACAAACACCACAGCAACAAACACCACAGCAACAAACACCACAGCAACAAACACCACAGCAACAAACACCACAGCAACAAACACCACAGCAACAAACACCACAGCAACAAACACCACAGCAACAAACACCACAGCAACAAACACCACAGCAACAAACACCACAGCAACAAACACCACAGCAACAAACACCACAGCAACAAACACCACAGCAACAAACACCACAGCAACAAACACCACAGCAACAAACACCACAGCAACAAACACCACAGCAACAAACACCACAGCAACAAACACCACAGCAACAAACACCACAGCAACAAACACCACAGCAACAAACTCCACAGCAACAAACACCACAGCAACAAACACCACAGCAACAAACACCACAGCAACAAACACCACAGCAACAAACACCACAGCAACAAACACCACAGCAACAAACACCACAGCACAGAGCCACACAACCCCAAGCACCACAACAACCAACACAAACACAGAAAAGAAAAACTTACGCCCAAGCACTGTTTCAGAAAAAAGATGCCGTGCAGGTAGCGGACGCCCCACTACTAGAGAAACCACAAACCAGCCACGACCACACATCACCAGCAAGCAAGTTTGTGCGCCAAGCAACTCCCCTAAGAGAAGCGAGGTCGGTCACACTTGCAGCCTTCTGGATCATCGACACCCCAGACGCGAAGGAAGTCTCCTACAAAGATTGGAGATCTAACCTTTACGAACAGGGGGCACTAGCGAGGTCGATCATAGAGCTGCGACAACCCATTGAGAAACGTCTTGGAGGTGATCACCACGTGAGCCGTAAAGTTATAGGATAGCTAGATGGCGTGATCGTCCACTAGAGTCATGGTACAGATTTTCTATCGCTGTGTCCGCGTGTTGTCTAGTCACTTCCCACGTCTGGGAGCTTTCCTTTTTCTTTGTCTCATGGCTGTACAAACTTGGTGCCTGCTAAAAGGTTAGCCCTCAACTTTAGTCACAGTTCCCCCAACCCACTCTCGCACCCCCATCCGCCGGTTCGGCAACAGCTCTTTGACAGATCACGCAAGAACAGATACTCGAAGTGATGAATGCGGCAGCAAAGCTCAACAGCAACATCAAGAGAGCCCTTCCGTACGAAAAAGTGTGGGACCAAGCTCATCCACTGACAACGCAGCAAATTCAAGAATGGCATTATCCTATGCCAAGAGTATCAAGTACTCGCCGTCAAATTGGTAAGGCAGTACCTGCGTTCAGTGGCAGTGGGAGCCAACATCCTGATGCAAAACAAAGAAGTGGAGCGAGCACAGGAAGTCAAGGCGGTGCTAAACGATGTTGCCTAAACATCGCATGTGTCAACATCAAAGGGAACCTCAGTGGAAGAATGCAGAAACTGAGCGAAATCATGATGGAGAATCAACTCGACATCGTCATTTTGACAGAAACAAAGATCTCCATACATGTCCCGGAAATGATGATAGACACGAACAAGTTTAGCGTGGCGTCGGTTGGAAATCAATACATTGGGATTGGGGTCCTCTCCCGCCTCCCCATTGAGTTTGAATTCCAAGGCCTCAGGACAATCGTAGTCAAAGCTAGCAACCATGTCATCGTCGGAACCTATGCGCCACATGAAGGAGCGGAAGAAGGAGCATTGGATTCTCACTATAAGGAGCTCACTCAATTGGTCAGGGAGAAGCAGCCAGCTGCAGTCTTGGGGGACTTCAGTGCTGGTCATGAGTTGAAAAGCGCGAAAAGAGTGAGGAACTTCGACAGACTGGAGACCTTGCTGGCAGCGACAGAATATAAGATGCTTGACTACCAACCCATATGGAAGGCAAGTTGATCGTTTTTGGACGTTTCTGTACCGCTAACTCCCTTTCTAATTACTAGCAGTCCATGCTGATTAGTAGTTTCCCCCACCATTCTAGAGTGCAGTGCGGTCCCCCGAGACCGACACATACACAGATTAGGACCAAGAAGGCTCATGAAATTGCTCTGTCGTTCCTGGCCCTCCTCACTCCCCCAACCTCCGGCTCCTCCTCTTTCACCCCAACCCGCTGTCTTCACAATGAATCCGGCCGAGCAAGCCAACAAGGACCTCACTACCCAGCTCTACGACCGCGAGCACGAGCTCGAAGAGGCTAGCGGTTTGGCTTGGTGATCGTTTTTGGACGTTTTTGTACTATTAACTCCTTCATCAATTGCTAGATGTCTAGGTGATCGTACCGTTAACCTCCCTCATCAATTGCTAGAGGTATAGGCCTATTATGTTCTATGGTTCCAGATGATAAGAGTGAAGACGCCACCCAAGGGACGATGGGATGTCGCCCAAGATCGTCACATAGGTTCGTTGATAACAATAGGGCCCTCTATTCGAAGCCGGCCTGGCACGAAACAACGGAAGACAGGTGTGAGGTCTCGTCTTCCGCTTCCAACATCAACTCTGTGGGGCAGCAGGCCCGGTCTGACCCCTGAATGAGTAACAGACCCGTTCCTTCGCCACAGGCCCCCAACCCAAGACGCTCGACCTGGCCCCAACCTCAACGATGGGACAATAGCTTCAAGGACGATGAATCACCTCATCGGTCCGATTATGAGGAAGTCAATTGTTAACTGGGTTAATAACCCTTAGCAGATGCGCTGACCCAAAGGGGACCTAGGACCGTTACAAGCTTGGCCGTTATCTCTGCTCTCACCCTACTACTTGAACTACCTCTGGTTTTTAGTCGTTCTACCGGCTACGCCATCCATCCTCCACCCCAATCTATTTTTGCTAGTTTTTGTCCCTTCAGCAAGGACTACTCATTATCTATAGCCATTTAGGTGTTTCATTTATTTCATTACCACTAATAAGATTCGCGAACCAAAGTGTGGGCAAGGTGAATGTGGCAAGGAGAGGGAGAAGGGTGCAAGACCAACAGAAGTTGAAGGAGGAAAAGATGTAGGACGCTGTGGTGGTAATCATGATACTGATATTATGGCTGTTAGGGACTCCATAAAAAACGTGGCGCACGGAAAAAACCACGGCGCAACGAAGTTCAAAAGAAGTACGTAAATGAAGAACACAGTAAAAAACACACAAAATAACGACAAAAGGGTACTTGAGGCACCTGAGAATCACATGGTGCAGGAAGTAGATGCCATACAATGAAATGAGGATGAGAGCTAGCATACCAATGAAATGGGGATCATGGAGGTTGAAACTAGCCAAAAGATGCAAAGGGGACGTCACCATTGATAGAGAACCAAGAGAGATCATTATCGTGGTTGGCTGCATGAAACGAGAGTGATTTTAATCTTTCTGACTATATGGATGCTTACAGAACCAATTGACAGCAAAGGGCACTGAGAATGACGAAGTTCCAGCATGAGTATGGGACAGCGTTACGAGACACGTCTCCGAAGTCTAGAAAACTCATCAACCACTCTGTTGCATATGGGCGTGTTTCTAATTCAATAGTTATCAAATTAGCACGATGATGCTTTGCATCATCAAGCCTCATTGAGAACTACAGAGTAAAACACATACACAACATCTCAAGACACTGGTTAATTTGCACTTAAATAGAATAGAGCTGTTACAAACCTCTTTAAGTTGAAGATGTTTCAATGGAAACCTCAACAGAACTGAGAAAGACTTAGATCTATCGGAATAGAGTGAGCATAGAATGAAGGATTGCTTCATTCTATAAGCACTTCGTGATTGCAACATTTGTTGCGACGAATCGCTTAACTTGCACAACATATTACTTCGCAGCAATATGTGTAAGCGTGCACTCTTCCGGTTCTAGCACTTAAGCTCTCACTTTTAAGTTCTATAAACCGTTTGGTGTAAAGAGTCGGGATCAAGTCCCGAGTGTTAAAAGAAAAGCACAGTCTGTAAAAACGAGACATATATTCATAGAAAATTAAGCATAATGATAATAATAATAATAAATATTGAAGAAGGTAATAACTACTGTTGAACATAACAAGAAGATAATAAAATAAATAAATATTATCTTCTTTCTCCCACAATCAATAGAGTCATCATCAATTGATGACTCTGACCTTGAGATAACTGATAGTGATCTGTAAACTCATTAGATCCCCTGAAACTGGTAGATCAGAAGTAGTTGTCTTGAAAGTGCTTTCAAGACATAGGGTTATCTCTTGGTCTTGACATGTGGAAGTCGAACCATAGTCATTCCCTTCTCACACTAAGGGCGAAGCATACCAACAAGCTAGAAGTTATTGCTTCGTTGATATCTCTGATGCATAAAGGATGCAGATGATCATTACGCATTACCGTTAAGCTTTGAGATCTATGCTTTCTTTACAAGAAAGTAGAAGAGATCTCTATATGAACTTCATGAAAGGGATTTACATCTCTAGAATTGTTAATGTTGTAACGCTCATTCTCACTGTGTTATTGTCATCCATTGATGACACTAATTCCTCAGGAAAAGGGGATTACCCTTCTGACCCTGTGTTCCCTGAAATCGTTAGGACGATTAAACGGAATGGTCTTCTTCATAAAGAAGATTCATCTTCAGATGATTAACTCATCTCTCAACAAAGGCATGACTGAAGACATGCTATGGTCATTTTTTAAGGGATATTGGGATAAGAGAGGTTTGGATATCCACGCCCAATACCTTAAGACTTTCCAGTAGACACTGAAAGAATTGTGATCTCTTCACCTTCGTGAAGGATATTAGTATTCTCAATAAAGAGGGTTGTCGCTGCTGCAACACACTCGGCCTCGTAACTATTTTTTC